TTGAAATAAAATTCTGGCAGAAAAAAAAGGTGAAGCAGCAAAAGGGGGAAGTGTTTGGTGGTTGCTCCACGCTGGAAATGTTGGTTCTCCAGCAGCAGGGTGGGTTGGGAGGGGTGGCCCCAACTGGGGGATGTCACCCTGCAAGGCGCCCAAATGAGGTGGTGAGTTCTGCATCCAGCTTTGGACTCTGGTTTGTGGAGTTTTGCCTTGATCTTGGCTGTTTTCTCCCCGTGATGGGGTGTTGTGGGGTTGTATGTGGATGTGCTCCTTGGAGCTGGGCTTGCAAGAGAAGGTCCCATCCCATCTGCTCCCTGGTGGGAGCTCCAGCAGCGTTCCCCAAAGGCTCAGGCAGGTGGGTTGGCCCCAAACCCCCATGAAAAGTGGGAACCTTCACCAGGCTGTGCCACGGGGCTGCAGGGGGGTGTTAGAACCTGTGCCCTGGGATGCTCAGAGGTGCTGCTGTGCTCCAGCAGCTCACTTGGCCTTGTGTCTGAACCCTCAGAAGTGTTTCCAAGGGGTCATCTACCTGGAGCTGTGTCCAGCACCTGAGCTGGAGGGGGAGATAATAAGAATTTTTCTTATTGATGTTGCCTTGCAGGTGAGAGAGGGTCTGTTTGTTTTCTCCCTGGTTTTTGGGATGGAGAGGGCTCTGGCAAAGCCTTCCAGAGGGGCTGGCTGTGCCCAGTGCCTTCCTCAGGAGCAGGCACACACACCAGCTGCAGTTTATGGTCCTTGCTACCATTTCCTCCCCCCCCTCCATCTCCATCAGGAGGTTTTCTGCTGGCACATCCTCCCCAGGGATGAAGGAGTGGCCCCCAGGGCTGTGCCTGGTGGGCAGCACGTCCCCTGGATGGTGGGGGAAGGAGGTGGAGGAGAGCTGGTCAAGGAGAAGCACTGTGAGGAGGAGTCTCCTCCTGCTGTGCTGCCTGACTCTGGCTGTCTGTCCACCCCCTACCACGGGCAGGGAGTGGCAGCTCCTTCTCCTGCAGGTCCAGCTTTCCAGCTGGGAGCTGAGCATGGCCCTACCTGCCAGCTGACCCCTTCTCCCACAGCCCCATCTCCTCCTCCCTGCATGTTCCTGGGGTTTCCCAGACACTCTGGGCTGAGGGAACCTCCTCAGCCTGGCAAGCTCAGGAGCTGAATGAAATCCAGGCTGTCTGATGCCCCCGTGGGTGGTGCAGACTCCTCCTGTAGCTGCTGGTGGTGCTTCACTGGGGGCTTTTCACCAACGTAGAGGTGCCCGTGATGGTTGTGAGAGGTGTGAGAGGGTCTCATCCAGCTGGGATGCAGAGATCCCTGCTGTGGGGTTGGTGCAGACAGGGCTGCACCCCACAGGGAACATCAACACCCTCTGGTGCACCCCTCCAGGACCCCTTGAGGTGCTGCTGGTCCAGCCTGGGGCAAGCAGCTTCTTCAGAAGCCCAGGAGGGTTTGGAGCCTCGCGTGGGCAGCGTGGCTTTGGTGGTTTGCTGTCCCCTTTGCCACACTGCTGGGGTCATTCTGCAGGGCCAGGGTGGGCTGCAGGGCTGGGGGGACCTCTCCTCATTCTCCTGCCTCTCTCTGTGCCTTCATAAAGACCAAAGCATCACCAGGCAGCTGCCAGGGCTGTGTATAAATAGAGCATGCAGGCTTTGCCCTCCTTCCCTTGGCATCAGCACCCACCAGGCTCGCCCAGGAGCACCCGGGCATGAAACCACCCCGTGTCCCATCACCCCGAGCCCGTGGGCAAGGCCAGGCTGGGGGCTGCCCTGGGGCTGCCTGCTGGTATCTGTGCTTATCGGGCCAGCATTGTGGGCTGATGCTCACCCTCCTTATCTGCACGTGGGGCTGGCAAGGGCATCGAGCTCCGAAGCAGCTCAGCAAGCTGCTCCTAGAGCCAGCGGTGACAGGAGATGAGATAATGCTCCCACACGGGCTGGGAGTGTAATTAAGCCTCCTGGCTGGGTGCCTAATGAACAGCAAAGCCCTCAGCACCGGGGTAAGACTTTGCCAGAAGATCTTTGCTGCCGTCTCGTTGCAGTCGATGCCGAGCTGGGGGCAGGGGCTGCACCCCAGAGGGGTCCTGCAGGACACAGCCCGACCTGAGGTCATGTTGTTGCTTTATGAAAGAAGGAGTTGAGGGAAAGGGCAAAGGAATGGTCCAGCATGGAAAAAAAAAGAGTTGTTCTGGAGGTTTTTGTGGCTTTCTGCTGCTGCTTTCCAGCTGTGGAGGGCTGGTGGTGCTGTGGTCACTGGACACCAACCCCTGTCCCATCAGTGACCCAGAGCTGGGCAGATAAAAGCCACCAGCTCTTCCATCACACCCGTGTGGTCCTGCAGGTGGCTATTTTCTGAATGCTTTGGACCAGAGTTATTTAACCAGCATCCTGGCGTGGAGCAGGGTCTGGATGTCCTGGGGGTCCCTGTGCCTGGCTGGAGGGTGCTGTGCAGCCCCTCTGTCCTTCTGAGGGCATGAAGGGGTCAGGATGTGGCCCCTGAGCTCGGGCACATCCCTGCACAGGCTCAGCTCCTGGTGAGGGGCAGCACTTGACCTGTGCCCTTCCTTTCCTACGAGTGTGCTGCAGGGTCTGGGTTATTCTGGGCTTAAATCTGAAGCAATTCAAGTGGCCTTGACCTATGAGGCTGCTAAAAAGAACATACCCCAGCCCCAAACCCCTTCACCCAGTACCCAGCCAGGAGAGCAGGAGCACTCGGGCTCAGGTCGCTGCTTTTGTGCCACTTTTCCTGCTGGGAATCTTTTCCCAGCACAAGAGAGGAGCCTGACAAACTCCCTGAGCTTTGTGGCTGATTGCAACGGACAGGTTTTAGCTCCCAGAATATAAAAACCTTTTGCAAAACACTAACCTCAGCGAAGGGGAAAGGGAAGGAAAGGGGAGAAAAAAAGCTGATTTCAGCAGCTGCAGCTTGCTGGATTTTTCATCTTGCATCAGCAAGTCAGGAACACAAATAATCTGGTCTTATATGCTTCAGTGAT